ACTGTGAAATGCCATTTTGTGAGAAAGTTTTAAATCTGCAAACACTGATTAGAGAAAATTACACGTAATGAAAACAATAATTTAAAAAGCATTTAATATGTTAACAAAATACTAAGATTATATTACAGTAAAACTTGTTACTGATAAAATTTTTAACTTATTGGCACTGAGTCAGAATCAACTCATAGCTGATCTTGCAGTAGATTCTTGGAGGCTATAAATTGCCCATAGATTGCCCATCTTTCTCCCAAGGAACAGCTAGTGGATTCGAACTGTCAGAGAGGTACCACCTTTGGAGTGAGCAGTGCAATTCCCTATGGACTAAGCCACCAACGATTCCTTATATAAAGTTTTAGGCCTGAAACATTGGCGCTTGTTTTTAAAAAAAGTTATGACAGGAAATTCACAACAGTAAAAGATGTAATGTTCAAAATATGTGCTTGTGCTATGATGAAAATCCTAATTGGCCAATCTACAGAGACAGAAAGTAGATTAGTAGGTGAGAGGAGGGAACTATGAGGAATGACCAGGACTGGGCAAAGGTTTGGTTTGTTTGTTTGTTTGTTTATTTTGTGGGGAAATGAAAACATACTGGAATTAGATGATCATGGCAATAATGGAAGAAGTTCATGGTGTTCTGAAGGCCCACACAAAAAAGACCCCATGAATTGACGTGATAACAAGTGACATGTTTCAAATATCAGATGCAGCTCTGGATGTGCTTATGAAGGACAACTACCCAGCCAACTGACTAGAAGAGATCCATATTTATTTTCATTCCCCCAAAAAGGTGATACAATAGAAGGTGGAATTACTGAACAATATTACACACAAGCAAAATCTTACTGAAGAGTATTAAAAAACAACTACAAGAGTACATAAAGAACTGCCAAAAATGCAAGTTCTTGTAGAAGAGGCCTTAGCACTAGTGATATCATTGCTAATATCAGAAGCAGATGATACCAGAAGCCTGTCTTATTTGTATTTTATCAACTTTGCAAAGGCATTTGACTGTCTGGATCGTAACAAATTATGATTAATTTTGAGAAGAATGGGCATCCCTGAACAGTTAATTGTGCTCATGTTAAAACTATACCTAGACCAAGAAGATGTTGTCTGAACATAGCAAGAGAACGCTGCATGGTTCAAAATCAGGCAAGGAGTGTGTCAGGGATGTATTCTTTCTCTGTACCTTTACAATTTATACGCTGAGCAGATCATTCTAAAAGTTGGACTTTATGAAGAAAAGTGTGCCATCAGGCTCAGAGAAAGACTCAACAACAACCTGTGTTATGCAGGTAACACAATCTTGTTCACTGAAAGTTAGGAGGACTCGAAGCCCTTGCTGCAGATTAAAGGCTACAGTATTCAATATGGATTGCATCTCAACATCTAGAAAACAGAAATCCTCACCAACAGGTCAATGGGCAGCATCATGATAGAGGGAGAGAAAAACTGAAGCTGTTAACAATTTCATTGTACTTGATCCACAATCAACACCCTTTGCACCAACAATCAGAATGTGAAATTAATTGCATTGGGAAAATCTGTTGTCTAGGACCTCTCCAAAGAGACAAAGAGTAATGATATCAATCTAAAGAATAAGGTGTGCCTGACCCAGGCCAAGATCTTTATCCCCTCTTTACTTGCTATGTATCTGAAAGCTGGACAGTGACTAAGGATGACAGAAGAAGCAATGCCTTTAAGTTGTGTAAAAAAATATTTACTATCCCATAGCCTACCAAGAGAACAAACAGGTCTATACTGAAGGAAGTGAAAACAGGGTGCTTCTTGGAGGCAAGGATGGTGAAACTCTGTCTCACATAATTTGGGCATGTTGTCGGGGGAGGGGTGGGGAAAGGTAGAGGGTCAGCACAAGAGAGGAAGACCCTCAATGAGATGGATTGACGGAGGGACTTAGCACTGGGGTCAAGTGTGTCGGAGATTGTGTTCGGGATAGGGCAAAGTTCACCAGATCTGTTGTTCATAGGGCCGCTATAAGTTGTGGCTGACTTGCTAGCACATACAACAACAATTGCACATACCTCCCTTGTGTGAATTGTAACAAATTATAGCTAACATTAAGAATGGGCAACCCAGAACACTTAATTGTGCTCATGCAAAACTTATACCTAGACCAAGAAGTTGTTGTCTGGACAGAACAAAGGAGCAATGCATGGTCTAAAATCAGGAAGGGTGCGTGTCAGGGTTGGATCCTTTCTCCATACTTGTTCAACTGTATTCTGAGCAAATAATTTCAGAAGGTGAACTATATATGAAAAAGAATGTAGCATCAGGATTGGAAGAAGACTCATCAACACCTTGCAGATGATACAACCTTGCTTGCAGAAAGTGAAGAAGACTTGAAGCACTTGCTGAAGGAGACCAAAGAATACAACCTACAAGTTGGATTACATCTCTACATCAAGAAAACAAAAATCCTCACCCCTGGACCAATAGGTAACATCATGATATATGGAGAAAAGATGGAAGTTGTCAATGGCTTCATTTTGTTTAGATCCACAGCAGTCAAGTAATCAAAAAATATTTTGCATTGGGAAAATCTACTTACTGTTAAGGACCTCTCTGAAGTGCTAAAGAGCAACAGTATTCATTTGAGAATAAGGTGCACCTGATGCAAACCATCGTCATTTCAATTGCTTCCTATATTATTTAAAAATTAATAATTAATTAAAATTAATTTTAAAAATTAAAATTAATAAGAATGACAAAAAAAGAAAAAGGAATGCCTTTGAGTTGTGGTGCTGGATAAGAGTATTGAATATCCCATGGACTCGCCAAAAGAACAACTAGCTATGTCTTAGAAAAAGTGCAACCAAAGTGCTCCTTAGAAGCAAGGATGGTGAAGCTTCATCTCACATACTTTGGGCATGTCTTCAAGAGGAGCCAATTCTTGGAAAAAAGGCATCAATGCATGGGAAAGTGGAGGGTCAAAGAGAGAAAGACCCTCAGCAAGGTGAATTAACACAGTAACTGTAACACTGGATTTGAGTGTATCTGAAATGGTTAGGATGGCATTCACTAGGACAAAGTTCAAATCTGTTGTTTATAGGGTTGCTATGGGACATAGTTAACTCAATGGCACATAACAACAATGTTGTAGTTCTGAGCATCTACTAAAAACACTGAATTGCACGCCATCCATAGCTGAATTATATGGCAATAAATCTGGTAAAAAATGTGTCGTGTGTATGAAACACAATGTATACGAACTTTGCAAGCAAACCAATATAAAATAAAAATAAAAAATATTGAAAAAGTCCTGTGGACAAGCTGATCGATGGATCTCATTGTTGTTGAATAATTTTTAGGAGAAAAAAAGTGAATTCTGGTCATAATAATTAATCAAAATACAAGGAGAAAAATATTGGCAAGTTTAACTCCCATGCATAGAAAACTGATGAAGGAAGGAGATTGAAGGAGTTTGCTTTGAAAAATACTTGCACAATGAAAATTCCTCAAAGTAAATATACTCATTTCATTGTTCTTGTTTACAAAGACAGAAGAAAAATGAATATCCTTGAATTATGGTGCTAGTGAAAATTACTGACTATGTATCATGGGTTGCCAGAATAAAAACATTGCCATAGGGAAAGTGCAACCAGGATGCCGCTTAAGAGATGAGGATACGGAAAGAACTATTTAAAAGAAATATATGATTAGGCATTATAAGTAAGAAAATTGTCCAGAATAAGAGGTACATTGCAAAAAGGACTAGGGGAGGGGAAGGGAAAGAGGGGGCCCTGGTGGGAGGAAATTGTACAACAATGAATGCATATTTTTTTAAAAAAGAAAGTGATTTGGGGCAGGGAGAAAAATGTGCAACAATGAATGAATGAAAATCCAACTTCTCTGCAAACTTTTGTTAAAATCACAACTAAGATAAAAAAAATTTAAAAAGATGAAGCTAGTGCGACTTCATCTCATGTACCTTGGACATACGTTTCATCTTGTTGCACACAGAAAGATCAGACTAAGAATAAAACTGACTCAATGACACTTAACAACACAATATTCATAAACAGGAGTCTACGGGTGATGCAAGCAGTTAACACATTCGTCTCGTAACTTAGAGGTTGTTGGTTTAAGTTTACGCAGAGGCACCTGGGAAGAAAAACCCTGATAATCTACTTGTTGTTGTTGTTGTTGTTATGTGCCGTCGAGGCGCTTGCGACTCATAGCAACCGTGTGTACAAAAGCTCTAAACTCTGCTCTGTCCTGTGCCAGTCTCATTGTCTCTGACACACTCATCCTGATCACCCCAGTCACCGAATCAATCCACCTCCCAGGGGGCCTTCCCCTCCTGCACCTGCCTTCCACCCTCCCAAGCATGATGTCCTTCTCCAAGGACCTGTTCCTCCATACAACATGTCCAAAGTATGTCAGATGAAGTCTCAGAATCCTTGCCTCCAAGGAACAGCCCGATTTAACCCTCTCCAGGATGAATCTGTTTGTTTTCTTAGCAGTCCATGAGGACCTCAGCACTCTTCTCCGACACCAAAACTCAAAAGCATCAATTCTCCTTCTATCCTCCCTGGTCATTGTCCAGCTCTCTGAAGCATAACAAGTGATTGCAAAGACCATGGCCTGTATCAGGCGCACCTTAGTCTCCAGAGACACACCACTGCTCTTGAGTACTTTAGAGAGGTACCTAGCAGCAGGCTTTGCCATCGCAATACATCTTTTAATTTCCCATCAGAGCTCACCGATAATCTACTACCAAACAAAAAATCAATATTGAAAACTGTACGGAGATCTCTATGAGCTGGAATCCAGGCAAAGGCAACTGGTTAGATACTCGCAAACATGGTTCTCAAGATCACATGGGAGCCAACAGGCCCTGTCTGCCTACTTCTCGTCACTGTCCTAGAGAACAGAATTTACCAATGAAGCCCAGTCCCAGGGTTGGAGAATTTGATTGACCAGGAGACTTCAGGATTTTGGGAATCCCATCCTGGTAGTATTTTAACAGCGCTCACCTTGCTTTACAAAGCGTTTCCTTCTCATTTTGGTCCGGTGTCCAGCAAACAGGGCGCTGACCCTCTCAGCCCAGGCTGCGTGACTCTCAGTATCACTAACTCCACAGCGGGGCTGTGTCATCTGAAGTATTGTGGCTCGGTCCAGCACGCCACTGACAGGTAGGTGGGACACCCACTGGAACTCCCTGTCAGGAGGAATTCAGATAAAGGACCTGGAAGGGGTGTGCTGGGCAGGGGGTGGAGAGAGTGGGCAGTGCTGATGGTAGAGAGACTTCTGGGAGACAGTAGGAGGCTGAGGACAGAGAAGGAGGGAGCAAGGGGGAGTGCCCCAGGCACATGTGGGAAGGGTACCTTTCTGGGAACTGGCTGTCCAGGGGAAGGAAGGAAAGACTCAAGCTTGCTCTCCCAAACTTGCACGTCCTCCACATCCCTCTGTCCTACCTGATGGCGTTGCTGAGCTGAGCTGAGGTAGGAGCTTTGGGAGCCTGTTCACTGAGGTAGCCATACTTCTCCAGGAATGCCTGAGGGAGAGAAGATCATCAGCATGTCTCACCTGCAGCATCCTCTCCATCCCTTGGGCTCCAAAGATCAACAGCACCTTCCTGCTGCCCTGTCTCAGCTCTTGTCGCCAGAAAGTATTTAAGTGATATTAGAATGAGTCCTGGGATCAGAGTCAGAAAGGAGGACAGGACCCCATTCCAGGCTACTGCTGACTATCTGGGTGACACCAGGCCGCATGCCTTCGCTTATCTCACACTGAGCTACTGATATCTACTCAACACATACACATCCAATGGCATTGGGAAGGATTTGGCAAAATTTGGCATTTGGAAAAGAGAATGACTGGCATTTAAGCCAGGAGACCTGGATTTGATCCCAGCTAACAAATTGTTTCTCTAAACCCCGAGTTGCTTATCTGTAAAATGGACTTAATTAATGTTGTTTTAGCCATTGAGTCAATACCAATTCCTAAGGAGCCCATGTGTTCAGGGTAGAACTGCTCATTTGAGATGTCAAGACTGTGGCCTCTACAAGCCGATTGCCAGGCTTGTCTTTTGAAGTGCTTCTGGCTGGATTCAAGCTTCCAACCTTTCCATTAGTAGTGACATGACTCACCGTTGGCACCAACTCAGAGAAACTGGCTTCTTTAAGACTGAAATGCACGTGTTCAGGTCTTTTCACTCACACTCACCATGCATCTGAAAGCTGCACGATGAATAAAGATGACAGAAGAACTGATGCCTTTAAGTTGTGTTGGAGAAGAGCACTGACTATCCCATGGACTGCCAAGAACAAGCAGATGCATCTTAGGAAAAGTGCAGCCAGAGTGCTCCTGGAAGCAAAGGTGGTGAAACTTTGTCTCTCATACTGTGGACATGTTGTTAGGAGAAGCTTCTTTGGGAAGGGATCTCATGCTTGGAAATGTGGAAGGTTAGCGAAAGAGAGGAAGAACCTCTGAAATTGACACAGTGACTGCAGCAAAGGACTCAAGTGTATCAGAGATGATGAGGGCAGTACAGGATAAAACAGGATCCAGGGCTACCAGGAATGATGAGAACAGTATTCAAGGATAGGACAGGAATCAAGCCTGTTGCTCACAGGATCTCTGAATTGTACTCGACTCAATGGCACCTAACAACAACAATAACAGCTTCATAAACAGAAGTTTCTGTGTGGTACAAATGATTAAGATGCTTGCCTGCTAACAACTGAAAAATTGAAAGTTCGAGTCCAACCAGAGGCATCTCCAAAGAAAGGCTCAGCAGTCTACTTCCCAAAACTCAGCCATTGAAAACAACACAGAGCACAGCTCTGCCCCACAGAGGGGGCTGTGAGTCAGGACCAACTCAGTAGCAACTGGTTTGGGATCGACAGATTTGAGGATTAAACAAATGTTGCTGTGTACTGTCGAGTTGGAACCGACCCATTTAACCAACCCCCCAAAACCCTCCAGTGGGTTTTCTGAGACAGGAAATCACACGGGAGGAGATTATCACTACCTATCACTTATTAGGGGTACCAGATAAAGTAGCTATTGTAACACGTGTTATACAGGTGAGCACTGCACGTGTGCATCAGATTTGTTCCCGAATCATCTGATTTTTCAAAGAGACATTTTCTTGGTCAGGAATTGAGTTTATGAATTGCTAGCTCTGCTATGCCTGGACTGAGAATGAATGATCTTTCTAATTCTGGCTGCTTCCTAAACAATTTTTCCTTAAAATGTAATTGAATAATGAAGAAGGAACACAGAAGGAGAACTGATACCTTTGATTTGTGGTGTTGGTGAAGAATATCGACTATGTCATGGACTGCCAAGAGAACAAACAAATCTGTGCTGAAAATGCAGCCAGAAAAACAACTATGAGATATCATCTCAGCCCAGTCAGAATAGCAAAATTGAACAGAACAGCAAGCAACAAATGCTGGTGAGGTTGTGGAGAAACTGGAACCCGTATTTACTGTTGGTGGAAGTGTAAAATGGTGTAACCATTGTGGAAGGCAGTATGGCACTTTCTCAAAAAGTTGCAAATAGAGATACCATTTGACCCAGCAGTTCCACTATGCACACCCATGTTTCTCGTGGCTTTGTTCACAATAGCAAGGAGTTGGAAACAACCTAAGTGCCCATCAACAAATGAATGGATAGAGAAGCTCTGGTATATTCACACAATGGAATACTATGCTGCATTGAAAAACAAGGAACTCATGCAATATTATTCAAAATGGGTGAGCCTGGAGGACATTATGCTGAGTGAAATATCTGAGTCACAAAGGGACAAATACTGCATGGTGCCACTGTTGTAAAATGGGACTGACATCAGGGTTGGGGGGAGACTGAGAAAGATGGGTTAAATAATGTATACTGCATTGAAACAGATGAGGGGGGAAACTGTTTAAACGGGATATGCGATTAGGTATTTTTGTCATGACAGGAGTCCAGAGCAAAGGCTGCTTAGTGTAGTGGACCTGGGGGGAAGGATTATTAAAAAATGAAAGAATTTTTCTTTTACTTTTCCAAGAGGGTAGTGTACTAGGGGGGAGGGTTGGGAGAGGAGAAAAGTGCAACAATGAATGAATGGAAATCCAAAGTCTCCGTAAATTTTCATTGAAATTAATAATAAATTATAAAAGAAAAAGAAGCATTAGAAAACAAAAACAAAAGTTGCAAATAGAGATACCATTTAACCCAGCAATTCCACTACTGGGAATATACCCTAAAGAAACCATAACTGCCACCCAAACAGATATATGCACACCCATGTTTATTGCAGCTTCGTTCACAATAGCAAAGAGTTGGAAACAACCTAAGTGCCTATCAGCAAACGAATGGATAGAGAAGCTGTGGTATATCACACAATGGAATACTATACTGAATCAGAAAACAAGGAATTAATGAAATATTATTCAAAATGGATGACCCTGGAGGACATTATGTTGAGTGGAATATCTCAGTCACAAAAGGACAAATACTGCATGGTTGTCACTGTTGTAAAACAGGACTGACATAGAGGTTGGGGTGGAGACAGAGAAAGATGGGATAAATTATGTATATTGCATTGAAACAGATGAGAGAGAGAACTGTTTAAAAGGGATATATGATTAGGTATTATTGTCATGACATGAACCCAGAACGAAGGCTGCATAGTGGAGTGGACTTGTGGGGAGGGATTGTATAACAATGAAAGAATTTTTCTTTTACTTTTCAAAGAGAAGAACGAACTGGAGGGGAGGGGTGGGCAGGGAGAAAAGTGCAACAATGGATGAATGGAAATCCAAAATCTCTGTAAATTTTCATTAAAATTAATAATAATAACAATAAATAATTTTTTTAAAACAAAGAAAATGCAGCCAGCGTGCTTTTTACAAACAGGGATCGTAAGATTTCATCTTACATACTTTGGGCATGTTTTCAGGAGGGGTAAGTATGTTGCCCCTGGAGACAGGCATCGTGGTTGGTAAGGTAGAGAGAGGGTCAGCGAAAGAGAGGAAGATCCTCAATGAGATCTTCAAAAGACAGGCTGTTTGAATCCACCAACTGCTCCATGGGAGAAAGATAGGCAGTCTCCTCCCATGCAGTTTATAGTCTCTGAAAACCCACTGGAGGGTCAGTGATTAGTCGCCTCTGACTCAACGACAAACAGCAACAAAAGGGCTTACATGCTAGTGAAACGAGACTGACAACACAATCAGATAGTAAATAAATAAAGGAGATAGTTTGGGTACGATGAAGGAAGGTGATCAGGTGATATGATCTGGAATAGGGACTGGAGAGCATTATGCTGAGTTAACTGACTCAGTCCCACAAAGACAAATATTGTATACATCATTACTGTAGAATGAGTATGAGGATCCAAGGGACAGAGGGAGGGTGGAAGCAGAGGGATGAGGATGTGCGGGAGCTATGAGGGGTGGATTAATCATGTTGTTTTTGTTGTTGATTGCCTTCGATTTGAGCATGACTCAAAGCAACCCTATGAACAAAAGGCCTGAAGCCCCTCTACAACTATCGACATTTATCAAAGTTTGTAGAGTTTCCGGAGGCATGTTATTTAGGAAGTGGATGCCACTGCTGCTTCCAAACCTGTCATAGTATGTTATGTGCCATTTAGTCGCCTGCGATGTACGGTGACCCTATGTACAGCAGCTTTGAATCCTTCCCTGTCCTGAGCCACTCTCAAATAATTCCAACACACCAATCCCTATCGCCCCAGTTACTGTATCAATCCATCTCAACTGGGTTGTACAATTTGATGGGGGGGAGGCAGTGAGGGAAATTGAAAGAATCTGGTCTGAAAAACAATGTATTTGAGTTTTTAAAAGAAACTAATATAGTTTGTTTTTTTTTTTGCAATCGCTTGTTATGCATCAGAGAGTTGGACAATGACTAGAGAGGACAGAAGGAGAGTGGATGCTTTTGAGCTTTGGTGCTGGAGAAGGGTACTGAATGTACCATGGACTGCCAGGAAAA